GAGAAGAGAGAGGGCAGGGGCTTAAATAGAAAAATTTTTGAATAAAAAATAAAATAAAATAATGAGTGAGGATGCGTGTGGGCAGCAGTCTTCTTGAAAAAGTGAGGAGGGAGAGAATGTGATGAGGGAGGGATGGTTGTTGGGGATTTGACGGGGAGCAACAACTTTGGATTATTTTCAAATGAGTTCACAAAAATTCAAGCTCTTGCATATAACTACCCTACTCATTTATAACTACAATATTTATTATGATATGTGTATCTATTATTGCATATATACTCTGTGTATTACATCATAATAAAAATAAATATTATTGTATATTATGATTTGCATAGTAAATATTAATAACAATAATGAATAATCAATTATTAATTTAAAAGTCTTTACCGTAACAATTAAATTAATAAATTACAAATTTGTTAAATAAATATAAAACCGTATTATTAAATCATAGCAAATTTTAGAAAATTGGGTAAAATAATAATTTAATATTTAAAGTACCAGAAAATTTATTTAAATCAATATCGAAAATTCAAGGTCCTTACATGCAGCCTTTGCAAGTATAGAACCATGGCTCGAGTCTATTCAAAATAGTAGTTATCTTTGCCTTAAATGTGCAATAGCGTGTTTGTATATTGATAAAATTTAGTTAGATTTAAATGTGTTAATAAGAATAGGTTTCTAATATTGTACCTGTATCGAATTCGATGATGTATGCATAATATCACTAATTTGGATTTCTTTTGCATTTATAAAAAGCGTTGATAGAGATCCTTTCATTTTTGCGGCTTCTTCAAATAAAACCTGCATATTAGATTAAAATATAATACTATTTTATTATTGCGCTATATGAAAGTATGCTTGTTCTACTTATCATTTCCTTAATTCTTTAGCTAGTTGTATTTTTTGGGTTGATACATATTGTTGATATAATTTGCGACAATATGCTTGTCTCCCCTACAAAATTGAGATAATTATTGGATGAATTTTATGTTTAGTTGTCGTTAATAAGAATTTCAGTAATAAATTATGTACCTTTATATATATAGATTTTAAAATCTGATAATGCTATTACAGGCTTATCTTTGATTTCGGGTTTAAGAATTGATCCTTCATTTGTAGCCAAATCTCTAAATAAAGCTGCGCGCATAGTCATTTCACTGTATATAAAAAAAGAAAGTACGTTAATCTTATATTTTCTTATGATATTGGAAATAAGTCTCATGAATATACATTCTATCCATTAGCATGATTTTCCTCCTATTGTCCGGTTTGTTATGTTTTGTAATATAGTTGATCAACAGCTTCACGTTAGTTGTTATTGCAAGAAAATCTGCAAGTAATTTTATAAAAAAATTTATGATTCTTTAAATTAACGTCTCATTTTGTATTGAAGATTAAAGTAAAAAATTTATAAGTACTTACTAATTTTTGTTGCATCTTTCATGGAAAATGCTTTTTCAAATGGGTCAAAATAGTTCAATATGTTCTCCAAGTGGAAACCTGTTGGTGCTTCTTTGATAGATACGTCTTTTGTTAATACTAATTCAAGTGACCTGTGGAAACTTGGAAAAACTGGGTTTATTCCTTTCACTTCTCCATTTGAAATGAAAATAATTTGATTCTTTCGAAGCATATCTATAAACTTTTTGATAGTCTCTCCGTACATAACTCCATGTATTTTGTTACCCTACAAATATTGTTAACACCAGAGATAAATATTTGAAAAATATAATTAATTAATATTAAGCTATATATTATATTTTAATTAATTATATGTAAACGAAAAAAACAACATAAAAAGGCATTCTGAAAGTCATTGAGATTTTAATGAAATTTATAGAATAGATAATGACAATCACAAAAAAATACAAGCTGAATTATAAATGCTGATATTATGAAAATAACAAAAAAATACAATTTTTTGTCCTTTTTCTTCTATTACAGATAAAAACTTTCATAACCCAAGTGGAACTATTTGTCTTCAGAACTATGCTTGGAGGCTCTAGTACAATATCTAAAGTTAATTCTAAATCAAACTCCAGAATAGTGGTAACCGCCACATTTTTAAATTCTCTGACAATTTTATATCTCTTTGCATAAGTAATGGATGAACTTATTATGTATTCTCAAGGTAGGATCTCACGATATATGTTGTCAGTTAATGACATTGTACTAATTGATGAGAGAAGACCTCGTATTAAAAGATTCCAAATTAATATAATGAAAATAAAATGTGTAGAATGTATGTTAGCAAAACAATACGAAGGAGTGCATGACGTACATATAAAAGTTATGTTAGTCTAATTAACCAAATGTTAGATTTCATTGTATCATCAGAATATTTTCACATGTTACCTTTTGAAAGTTTTAGTGATCATGTTTCTTCAGTTGATATTATTTATTGAGTTTTGAAAAGTATATACCACTTTCTGTATGTAGTCTCATGATTGTGCTTTCTTTGGTCTTACAATTTTTTGTGCATGCACCAATTTCAATTTGCTGATATCATATATTTTTGAATTCTTGTGCAAGTATCAAAACTCTTAAGAGAATCAGGCATATTCTTGTAGACTCCAAAACTGAAATTTTCATATTTATGTGTTTGTGATTTTCTTCTGTATTTTTACGGAATGAAAGACAAGAGACTTATTGGTCTATATTAATCTTACATACAAATTCCATGTTTTTTAAATTTAGAAAACTTTGCATTGGAAGTAATGAATAAGAAAAAATCACAAGATTAAGATAATGAAACTGAAGTTGATGTGGATAACTACTGGTGATACGAAACTGAAGTTGATGTGGATAAGAGATTCAAATAATGGAAGATTAAGATAATGAATAAGAAAAATAGAGGACCAACAAATTTCCTTTCGAGAACTATTAAATAAAATTTACACTATCACATATACAAATCACAAGATGCATGAAAGTTTTAAAAAATTATAATTTTATTTCCCCCACTATCAAGTCGACTTTTGCAAACAATTATAATTAATTATTTTAAAATAATCTAATCTAATCTAATAAGGAAAAAATAGATGGAAGCGTTGTGAAAATTATTATAATTAGATACCATGATTAATTGACTAAAATAAGAAGAACAATATCTAATCTAGTTCATAATTTTTAAACAATCTAATCTAATTCTAATAAGAAGAAAATAACAAAGATAAAAGTCATCATTATTAAATAAAAAAAAGAGAGACACCAAGACCGAACCTTTGAGAGAGAACAATTGATAATTGCTTCAAAGTCTGAGAAATATTTTGTGAGAGAAGAAAGTGGATTTGGTGCTTTATTTATACCCGAAGAGTTTTATTGGTATAATAAAAATTCAGTTATCTTTGTGAATGCACGTATTAAAAGATAGATACAATCATAGCACGTGCAATATGATATCTTTCTGTAATATAAACTTATTATATTATTGTTAATAAATTAATCATAATATTATTTTACACATGCAAAGTAGATAAATTAGTTTAAACTTTTATATAGTGTATAATGTTCCAAACAGCCCCTAAAAAAAAGTATCAGGTACATAACTTACACTGTATGGCAAATTATAATAACTTGCACTATATACCATAAGGTGCTGAAATACAAAATAAATTTAAATTAAGTTGGCAGAGTACTTCGGGTTTGAGAGTGATTTTAGAAGTGTGTCTAAGAATAAATGATGGTAAACCTTTGGCTTATAAGCAAAACACACTTTTTTTTAAACAACTAATTTGGTTTAAAAATAAATGGTTGTAAAACTTTGGGTTCGGTGGCTAAAACAACCCATAAAATAGTCTGCGTTCTCGCAACATGTTTGATACGATGCAATCTCACAACATGAGTGTGAAAAATTAAACATATAATGAGTTAAACTATTGGTTCAAAAAATATATGCCATAACCTAACCATTTTAAGGAAAAATATATAACAAGTTAAAGTTGGTTCAAAAAATATATACCATAACCTAACCACTTTAAGGAAAAATATATAGCAAGTTAAAGCAATATATAAACAGTCACATCACATAGCAAACTATGATGGGGTAAATTTTGGTTTATTAGCCAAGAATTTTTTGTAGTTTGAAGCACCAAAGTTGTATTTGATTGAACTTTGAGCATTTTTTGGGAAAAAACAATGGGGGTATCAAAGCTAGAAACAGAGTAAACCTTGAGGTATTTAAGTGCAAACAAAAAAAGAGGAAACAAAAGTCGAAGGCTTTTGTTTGAAGTCCAAGTTAATTTTTTTGGCTTGATAAACGAATCAGTAACTGTGATCTGTTGTTCCCTAAAGTACCCTTTGGCAAGGGGTCAAGCGAAAAATGTTAACAGGAAGGACTAACTATTTAATTAATCATTCATAAGAGGTTAAAAATAATTTAATTTCATTTGAATTTGACTGTCAAGATAAGGATAAAGTTGTGTGTTTGGAAAAAAAAGGGGTTAAGAAAGATAATTGTCATAGATATCTTAAATTATGTTCTTTTTAAAAAAATTATTTTCTTATTTCAAGAGGGAATAATTAATCATCTTTTTAAGACGGATCTGTCAATTCCTCTAAACGAAGAGTTAACTAACTTTAATCATTATAAACAGTTTGTTAATCCTTCGATTAAATTAACCCGTATGGATGGTTAAAAAAGGGTTAAACCGCATTGACCCTTCTCTTAACTCCTTGCCAAACAGGGCAAGGTTTTCTAAAATATGTTTTTGTGTGAAAAAGGTGTAAATGCTAACGCTTGGAAATTTCCAACAGTTCGGTGCATTGGCAGGAGACATTTCCACTACCACTGCAACTAGTTGTATTTTTTATGAATTCTGAAGTAACATGCAGTTGAGGTTTTTTTTTAAAAAAAAAATTATGTTTTACCCGGGCATTTTGTTGTGTCTTCAGGCACAAGCACAGCTAGAAGAGATGGAGACACGAACAAATAGATTGTAGAGTTCACAGAGAGACCAAAAGGAACGGCCGCGGATGCTTCCCTCTCAAATAAACAAGAAATAAATATCAAAACAACACTATCCTAATTTCATCAAAATTGCATTCTGCTTCTCTCTACCATACTTCGCATAAACAATCTAATAATTACTCTTTGAACAAACAAATAAAACGTACAAACAGATTACAACAGAACGCCAGCCACATTCTGAAGCGCTTTCTTTACAATCTTAAATTTTCCAGCAGCGTTCTTCTTTTCTTTATTCGCATCCTCGACATACTGCTTGATGAAGAAGAGGAGGCCATCCCTCAAAATCTCAAGCTCCGGAGCAACAGCTACACGCGTGAAAATGTTCCACACGAGGGCATCACTGTTTTCAAAGATAGCCTCGATAAGCATTCTAAAGTGCATGATCCTTCTTGGAGTCAGCTGAGCAGGCTCCATTAAATTGACGGTCTTTAGAATTGCAAGGGAGAGGGAGAATGATGATAACATCTCAGCCACGAATTTTGCGAGGTTCAATGAACGGTTTAGCTCCATTTCGTCTAGTTCTTTGTAGTGATCCCAAATGCAATACTGTAAGGGGAAAAAAGCGTTAAAAAGTAAACATGAGACCATTAAGGATATACCGAGTGATTTCAAATGCAATGATACTAATAAGGAAAAAAGGCATGAGGTGGTTGCCCAGTTTGCTAAAATGCAAAGAGATTGCCTAGTGGTGAGGCTTATCCTGCTAGTTAATAACGGAACGGTTTACTTCCATCTCGTCTAAGTTCTTTGTAGTGATCCCAAATGCAAAATACGGGAAAAGAAGTGTTTAAAAACAAAATATGAGATCATTTGAGATCATTACAGATATAAAGATCGGTTTCTCATATGATAATATGATAATATTAATAATAGAAAAAAAATGGGTATGAAAGTGGTTGCTCATTTTTGCTTAAATGACTAGTGGTGAGTCTAGTGTGAGGCTCATCCTGCTATCACATGAGAGTAAATGGGCCACCAATCTTACTTTTCAGTAGCTCATTTGGCAGCTGAGGCTCAATTAAGGCCTATTATTAAAACAATAGTAAAATATAATCTATCCTTTTTTTAATCAGAAAATAATGTATCCCATTCATAAATAGGTTTTAATGGTCTGAAACATAGATATTAATAGGAAGCTTTGCAAACTGTCATCCACATTAATGAAAAGCCTTGTTTCATCAGTAATAAAAAAGGGTAGCAACTCCAAGAGTAGAGCAGAACTGCACCACAGAGGCAAAGTTTTTGGGAAAAAAACATTTAATGGTTCACGCTGGCATATTACAGTTTATCATTTTAGGATGTGTAGTTTTATAATCAGCTTAAGTACAACAATGCTTTGACGAGCGGTTGAATTGTTTAGTTGGAGGTATAATTTGCAAAAGATAGTTACAGCAGTAAATGTCACTACCCCAAATTCCTGAACCGGAAGGAACTTGGAGCCGAACTAAGCTTGCTACAATTTACTCAAACAGATGACAGATCTGACTTTCAATTTCAACCAACACTACAATACCTACCTTTGCCAGGAACGGAGATTTATTCAAATTTACCTAAAGACTATAACCGAAGGAGTTTGATTTGCCATTTGGCTAGTGCCTATTGATACCATACTCACAAAAGGGATAACTGAATTGGGGTAAAATGCATCTGCCATCATTAATAAAGAGCAAATGTTAAGACATGTTGAATCTATAAATGGATATCTGAACAGTTTATTTGTATAATTTTATACCTTCAATTGGTAATACCTTCATCCAAAACCAAAAGACGACCCAAGTTCATGCAAAAAGAGGCCAAGCATTTAAAATCTTAGCCATGGCGAATATGTTCGTTTAAACATGAAAGTCATTGTCAAAATTAAAAGTTTCCACTCAGTGCAAGAATACTCTAAAAACAGATATAAAGACAAAAGAAAATAACAACAGCTGCTAATGGATTATGACAAATACATTATGCAACAAACCTGCAAGGTGAACTTGTGATTCTTGTCATGGCTACACAATTTGGAGGCCAATACGGTGTAGTACTTGTTGAACACCTTTTCTTGTAAGCAGCATCCCACAAGGACCCTCATTATTTCTCTATCCTGTGGTTCAATTCGAAAAAAGAAGGGCATGAAAAATAGTTATATCAAACAAACAACAAATAAACAAAAGAGGACAGTAACCTGCTTCCCAGTTAGACCGAGCTTTAGAATCTTCTCAAACGCATCAATGTAATCTTCTCCACTCATTATGACACAAAAAATTGCTCTCCTCACATCAGTATTCATCCTTTGTGCTGATGCGAGGTGCAACAACTTTTGTGTCTCTAGGACATCTTTGCTGATTGTAGTTGCCACCTCTTCAACATTATCCTCCGTGGAAGCAAAATCACCAGATAGCCACCACTGCCCTTTCTTTTCAGGATCAAGAAGCTTGCCCCATTTGAGCCCACGAAGTAGAATATCTTCAGCCCTCAGCTGCACAAATTGAACAACAAAGTGAAAGTTATTAAAGCTTGAATTAGGCAACCAAAAAAAGTAAATATTACTTGGACAGTATTTCTTTCTTTGAACTATAAATGACTTTAGCAAAAGATATCCATGTAAGACAATTATGCGAATCAAACAATAACAAACGATAAAAGGTGACGAGGATGACCTTTTGTAGCCATTTTTTGATTCGTGTATGATGGGCAGGATCATCTTTTGGTCTCTTTTTGTTGTTCTTTATGTCCAATATAGTCTCAAGCATGAATTCCATCTGCAGAAAGAGTTGAACAAGGATTTAAACAACAAATTTCACGAGATCATTTTAAAGAAGCATACAAGTCAGAAGCTTACTCTTTTATTATTCATCATTGGTTTCCCATCCTTCTCAGTCTTAGAGAACAACCTTGCTTCATTCACTTTATTCTGAATGCTCAGAACAAAATCTTTCATACCAATTGGATCATCACTCCTCAGTTTCATCCCACAGCCTATGTTCATATAAAAAAGGAAAAGATTATTAAACCGAACCTTAAGCTTCATAGATAAAGAAAAAACATGCAGGCACAAACAATCAGATATATACACGAAAAGTTACATTCGAATACACATGCATGAATGTGCATACTCGTGCAGGCAAGAAAGCACACACGCGCAAGCACCCATGAATTCAGTATCATGTAATCTACTCCTCTATACTGTCCATGCTACAGTAAATATTATAGTAAAACAATGTAGCATGTACATCAAATCAATCCAGTGTTCTGCGCTCGACGTTACTGTTTATGATACAGTGATTTACTGTAGCATGAACAGTGCGTCAACAAATAATCCATAATCGAAGATACTATTTATGCTACAGTATTACTGTATCATAAACGGTAAGCAAATCAAATGTATTAAAACTTGGTTCCTTCTCTAAGTATAGAGAGGTAGATATGATTTCTAAATCAAATGTATTAAAACTTGGATCCTTCTTTAAGTATAGAGGAGTAGATATGGTATTTAATTTTAAGCATTCAATAATTAAATCAAATGTATTAAAACTTAGAGGGAGACAAGTTCAAAATGTAGTGCTTAAAAAAATAGGGGGTCGTGCTTTGCACGGGGTGCACACTAGTACATATAAGAAAAAAAATAAGACTACAAATTGAGAGAAGCTAACCACAGAGAACTGACATTGTAGGATTGTTAAGATAGTTGACACATCCATCTCCGTCAAACGCTTGCTCAACACAGATAGAAGGTCATATATGAGATCACTATACGCAAAACAATCAAACGTGAGTTACAAGAAAGCAGATAAGTGTAATAATAATAATAATAATAATAATAATAAGCATTAAGCACAAACAAATAAGCGTACTCATATGCTAATCATATGGTATTTCTGGAGGATAATAAACCAAAAGAAACAAAATTGTTCATAAAGAATGACAGAGAGTTGGGAAAGTGTCCTATTACGCTCTTGACTCTGTGGAAACTGGGAACTGAATTTAAACTCCAATAGCAAATATATAATCCTTCACCTTTTTTCTGGAACTTTGTCCCTATAAAAGTATTTGGAGAATGCCAAATGTCTTCAAGGATTATAGCAAGCCAATCTATTGTTCATAGCTTCCATGGTCAAAGTTTTGACACTAAGAGAGGGTTCATATCAAGTCGAAAGTAACTCATAACACTTAATCAATTTTTTTTATGGAATGGCATGGATGATGTCGATGAAATAGCTCATGATGATGATGATGGCAATGATGCTAAACTAAGTAGTTGATTCATCATTGTTTCTTACTCCATATGCCAAAAAAAATTTCCATGTCTTTCAAAAGAAAAGCTGTACTCATCACTGATATTAGAAATAACCATAGAAAAGTATTGCTTCTAATTCACTGTCATTGTTAATTACTCCCTAAACAAAAAGTTTTGTTCATGCCTTTCAAAAGGAAAGCTGTACTCACCGCTGATATTAGAAATAACCATAGACAAGTATTGCTATATAATTCACTCACTGTTAATTACACCGTAAACCAAAAAATTTTTCCATGCCTTTTAAAACGAAAGCTGTGCCCATAACTGATATTGAGAAATGACAAGTACTGCTACATAATTCACAGAATCCACACAATTTACTAATAAATGCTTAAAACAAAACAAAGTTTCTTCAAGCCACAAAATTATTGTAGGCTCACAAGGTATGATGTTCATATATTGGAATGCAAAAAAGCTTAAAAACCTTGACCTACTGAAATCTGTTTATACAGATGTTAAGCTAAAAGCATTAAATTGAGACGTATAAGATACAGATGTTACAAACCTTGAACAAACGCCAAATATGCACAAATAAGAGATTAGCAAAGTAAGATTTCGTAAAGAAAGACCATCATCCTTTGAGTACTCATCCTTGAAAGAAAGAAAAGAAAGAAAAGTTAAAGACAAGCAACTCACTTGGTGTTCCAATATATCTAACTGATGACGACATAAAGATATTACAATGAAAGATATGATAGCAATATACATGGGAAGTTGATCAGCTTCTATATAATACAATAGTACAATGATTTGCAATTGTGCATAATCACAATGACTACGTTTAAACTTGTAGATAAATTATACTGTTGTTCAGTAGGCTAAACAATAAAAAGGAATTATCTGCTTTTAGCTTATGACTCAGTGCATTAAGGACTGGTTCAGTAGTAAGAGCATTAAGTAACTTTATAAGAGATCCAGGTAACCGTCAACCACCTTTGTTGCAGAAAGGGGGAAAAAAAGGGGGGGGGGGGGGGGTGGCGGGGGGGGGGTTTGGGGGGTGGCAGGGCTCATCGTTCTTACAACATACCTCAAATGACTTAGCAATAGAGGAAATAAGCTTTGCACTGAAGTCAATCCCAACTAAACAAGCCATGCCTGCAACAAATGCTGCAAAAACAGCAGCATACCTACACAAATAAAAAAGGACAACAGGTTAATATAGTTACACGTAACTTGTCACATGACAGCAGCAGTATGTAGATTAAAATTTCCACCTATGCCCTCAAGATGGATTCAAAAAATTTAATCAAGGAGACGGAAAATGCAAAATTCCAGAATAATTCAATATGGTGCCGAAGTCACAGCATGCAATTCAAAAAAAAAAAAATAGCCAATAGCAGAACTCTGAAAACTTGTCCGTTATCTTTCTTTATCCTTAGTTTATGGTGAAAATTTCATAGAAGGATATCAAATTATGTACAAGAACTATATAATTTACTAAATAGAAATTAACTCAAGAATGCATTTGTTTCGCCATAAGATTCCTGTCAATCATAAAGTACTCTGTGATTATACTCTCTAAAGATATGGACAAGAGGAACATCTTGAAATGCAAATAAACTTTCTCACTGACTGCAAATGTTCAGCTAATTGCTTCCTGATCATAAACTTCATACGCAGTACATGAAGATAGAAATAGCTCCATAGATTGAACTCAGAGAAATGACATAGGGAAAGGTGTCTAGATGACCACTACTTCACTATCGAACCCTTAACAGGAAAAAGACATGGATATGTTTGTATTTTGTTAGTCACACACACACACACACACACACACACATATATATATATAAAAGGCTCTTCAATCAGCCTTATCTTGGTTGTGATATATCTATACTTAAAGATACAAGAGGAAGAAAGCCTTAATGGTTTCTGCCTTTCAAGCAAGGTGCTCAGTCCTACCCTACATTCTCTTCTTTAGTACATTGCAGCTTTAAAAACTAAAATAATTTTTCACAATCCTGTGTTTTGCAAGAAAAGCCACATAATTTATAAAAAAATCCACTTAATATTGGGAATGAAGAATAAAAAGACGCATAAACTGCTGCCATATAACTGAAACGTCACAGAAAAAAATGATAACAGAGCCAAACTGTTCATTGCCACGAGGTCCTCTTGAACATGATGCAACTACCTCCTCTCCGATAATCTGACAACCAACACTGCGAGAAAGTGACTGTAAAATAGTCATTTTAAATGAATAAAATTGCACACATCCCAAGTTAGCATCCAAAAACCAAATTGGTCGAATATATGTAGGACATATGCTTAAAAACTATCAAGGCAGCAAGGAGAGGGCTAGAGATCATACTCGAAAGATTGCAGCCACTTCTTCTGTAATAGATTCCACATTTGCTTCACAGAGCCTGTTAAGGAACCCTAAACAGGACAGACTGGATTCAGAAAACCTTTTATATGCTATAAATCCATTTTTAAAGTACATAGAACACATTTTGCAAAGAGTTAAAATTGCAGACCTCTTATTCTGCGGCGAATCTGTGAGATCTCTTCTGATTCCTTGTTTGTGCAAGCTCTAAGGTGAGGGGCCACATACTTCATACTACTGTCCACTTTATGGGCCCCCACATGTGACTCTTCTTCATTCACTATATCGGTCTCCTTATTACCTAAATAAGAAATATCTTCTTCTGCTTTGGGCAGATCTTCGACACTTTGATCCTCCGGATTCTTTCCTAACTGTTGGATGGAATTATTAATCATGTCTTTCTTAGTAGACAGCTGAGATGACTTCTTCCTCTTGCGTTTTTTACTAGATGAGGTTTGCTTGACCACATCCGCATCTTCTTCAACACCAACAACTTCATCCTCTAGCTTGGCGGAAGGCTGAGATAACTTTTTCTTATTCTTGTGTTTTTTACTAGACGGTGTAGACTTCACAACCTTTTCGTAATCATTCATGTCACCACCCATAACTATCTCATCGTCAAGGACAGATGGAATCCCCTCAATGAGCTCGTCCATCAAGTCATTGGAGCCCTTCAATCTCCCTTCTTTCACTCTGAGCTTCTTCGCAAGCCTCCTCTCCATTTCAAAGTCCTCCTCAGCACCAGCCAAACCCTTGTTTATATCCATGGCTAAGAACTCCTCAAACTTTGTCTTGGGCTTGCTCATCGAATTCTTTTTCTCCTTCTTCACCGAAATCGATTTACCTGAAGAACCTGAGTGCGCCTTGGGTTTCATGTCGTCTCTTCTTCCTATCACTTCCAATGCACGCCACTTATTCAACCTGGAGTTAAAGAACACAAAAATATAGTCAGACCAGAAATCCATTCTGCACAAGTAGTTGAGTCGGACTAAGTAAGAATACAGTATAAACAAGTATAGAAACAATGTTGGATAAAGTTGAGTGCTTTGGGACACCGGACATGACAGCCAGTTGGCTAGGCAGACAACCTATGCGCCGCGTAGGTTTTTTTGCATTTATTTATTTACTGATAAAAACATAAAATCAACAATAATTGCATAAACTTCAGAAAAAAATAAATGAAATTCAGAAGATTTAGAAATATCAAAATAAAATAAAATAAAATAATAGCTACACATTTACTGATAATAATTAAATAAAAAACAAATTTTATAATGAAAATAGTTAAGATAAATATCTAAAAACAAACCCGACGTGAAGAAGGACAATTTGTTTAAATACTCTTCCATCAGAGTCAACCATCAACAAAACATATGCATACATAATAGTGCCGAGAAAAATATATTTATATAAAAATATCTAGCAAAATTTATCACAAGCTCACTGATAGCAAACAGCACAGAAATATCTTGGTAAAATTACTGCAGACTTCTACTACGAAAAGAAAATCATGACTTTCAAGTTGAAAGGAGACTTCTCTCGGTGTGATCGACATATGCAAAAGCATTGCCGTTGATAGTTAAGGCAGGATTCAACAATCGAAAGCCCTTGAACATATCCAAATTACC